AAACGTGAAACAATTGCATCTCAATTTTTATTATGGGAGTACATTGATCTATGAAGGGTTTTCACTGATGCAGCAGATAACTTCATTCATTAAACTACCTGATCATGCAAGTTGTTCCTATGCGTATTTATCGGTAGGTAGTTGTTCATTTGTAGTACTTGAGCGTACCGTATCTACTAATGCACAATCAAATATAGTGGCACAAGTGCTATTGTTAAATCAAACGTGATTTAAATAAATACAACGATTTTTATCTAGAGAAATCCCGGCGACTTCCAATTATCCGGACTACACGTAGTCGTTAAAGCTATTGCTATTTCGGTTGTCAGACATTTATTAAATGCATACCTTCAATTTCTATTTCTCGTTCTCGCATCATTCTTTAATAATTTTGCTAATACGACTTGATTTTTCTCGGCCCATTGCACGCAAATGTTAAAGGCATCTACATGTTTAACATATAACAAGATTCACAAGAATTTCCTCATCTGCAACACTAACGTCGCTGACTTAGGGACAAAAGGTCATCATCTCCTATTACTCATTTGTAATGTTTAGGTAATTTTCATATGTTGGTGATATCAGACGAAATTTGCTACAGCAAGCTGTTAATCTCGATAAATTCCTGTTGGCTCTGTCCTTAACGAAAAAAAGTAGATCATCTTCTAAATGTGACCCAAAAGAAAGACTTTTCCGAGTTATTAAAATTTTGTTAAACCTGTGACATTCTAATCCATTGGAAGAATGGAAGCGAGGTGTCATTATTACAATTTCACCGTCACCGCTGGTCAGTCACGCCTTTGGTGCGTATTTTGGAACGTTCTCCGCATTCTTGGTTGAATGGCACACAATTGGAACGTTAATGTTTAGCCGGGATTTTTAGTTTTACCAATATCATCATTTTTAGTTTATGGAAACTATCACCACTTGCACATGCGAGAAAAGTTGCTCCCTCGTTGAAGGATTTCCCGTGCGGTTGCAATAGGAATTGACGGGGCCCTAGCGATCCGGTTGACAAAATACCTAATGTTAAAGTGCAATATTTTGATTTTGTCCGAATCACAAGGTAATCCCGATTACCGAAAATAAATTAAATTCACGAAAAATAAAAACGCATGCACCATGTAAACTGTAAAATTTGTATCTTCTAAGTATCTATAATAACAAGCAAACGGAAGTTATAATCAAAGGACTTTTGTCTTGTCAGAAAAGTTTTGATCGAAATTATTATTAAATAGCCATCTATTGGTTTTAATGTACAGACTGACGATAAAAGTTAGCGATTTAACATTTGATTCTTATATCTTATATTGCCTACTAACGATAAGTTAAAATATCAGTTTTTTTTTTTAACAAACTCTCATGCGAAATTAATCCCTAGACGAATGTTGTGCTATTTCATCAATTTTCTTTGCGAAAAGGTTTCTATTAGGTTGTGACTAATGAATACGTCACTAATAAATTTGATGTTAATTGTTAGATATTAAAGCAGCTAGCAGTTATGAAAACGACGTGGTATATTGTAATAATTAAGCATGTGTAACAACAAAGTTACAGATGATCTAATTTTAGCTCTCTTTTATAAATGTATCATCCCATAATACTAATAAATACAATAATACTATACATAGCAACATTTGCTTAGCATGAGCCGTAAGGAAAAATGTCCAATAACGAGAAAATGGTACAAATATATACAAAACACAATAACTTTTTAGAAGGAAGGGCAATTTTATATTCCTTATTTAGTAATTTCGTAATAAAATTTTAAATGAAAATGTTTGCTGTTTAAGAATATCATGGAATAAAATTGGTGGGCATACAGATTTACCGTTATAAAATTTTAACACGTAGGGTGTAGGGCGACCCTGCCTATCAAGTGCTAATATTCGTTCAAAATTTTTCAGTCATATATAGGTACCTATGCTTTAAAAATTGGGTAGGAGAACATATTTTTTGTCAGTTTCAACCACTATAGGTACTTAATATATCTGCATACGTATATATTAATGAAATATTGTTCTTTTACTAATACTAATTTATCCCCCTACATCTCCAGTCCGTTCTTTAACTGTACTTTGACTCGAAAAAAGATTAAATGAATAGCATCAAAAACTTGTGCAACATTTCCGCAAATAAGATTTCAAACTATCACCTGCAGCTTACGTCTAGCAAGTTAATTAATTGTTAAACAAGCTTTCATTTGGAAATCCCCGAATCAAAAGACGACGAAAAATTTAAAAAATTAATTACATAGGCGACGAACCAGAGAAAAGCGTTCTAGAAACTTCTTGAAAATTACATTTGAAACAAAATAGCATTACAAGTTTCAGAATTTAAAGCAAAAAAGCTGGCAATGACATGCAGCTATTGAAAATATACATAGGCGATACGACAAGCCAAACTGATTTAAAACAGGTCATCTCAATCCATTACAAACGATACTTAGATTAATGCTACAAATGCATAGTTAACATTAAAAGTAATAAACATGAGCTTAAATAAACGATATTATAGGCATTATCATTTTTGCAGTACAATCGACAATCCCCTTAACCAGCGAATATCAAATTACTTCCATCAGGCGCAATATTTTTTAACTCCATTAGATATTGTCTAAATCAATTTTCTTTTGAATTCTCAAAAGTAAATAAATAAAGCAACCCTGTAATATAAACTTCCAACTACTTTTGTTAGATAATATTTCCTTCTGCTGAGCACTGTTATACATTATTCTGTAAAACTTTTCTTCTCAGGAACAGGATCTGGATGTAGCGTTACTATTATTATTCTTACAGTTTAGTTTTCGTTAAACGTTTACGTGTCTCTTACGTTAATGGAGACCCCGAATGTGACTAATCGTGAGAGTTAACTAAGTCATCAATGAATGCGGTATGTGGTGATATTATGTAAACAGTTACATTGCGTTTTCCAAAAAAAGGAGACCACAGTGAACATTTGCATTATTGAATTGCATCAGTTATTGTAACGGTTAATATGAGCCAATGTGATAAAAATGATTTGATAAATTATGTATTGGCATTTTTTGAAAATAATTAAGAATTAAAAATACGATAAATGTCTTCTTATATTTCAGTTAAGTTAATTACAGTAAGAAAAAAAAAACAAATTGTAAAATATTTGAACTTCTAGCAATTGTTTAACAGAAATCTTTTAATATAATGGTTGTAAAAATGTCACGATAACTTCTGAAAAATTATCTCCAATTCCATGAACATTTTATGCTTAATTTACTTGATTATTCTTACATTTATCGTTCTTATTGATATTTCATAACTGATATCGAACGATTAGTCTGCGAGAGCATAATAATAAAGTGTATCGCTTTCTATTACTAATGCAATACAATATTCTGTACCCGAAGGGTTGGTCTATAGGTGTAAATGAAAATCGTTTTGAATGTTATAAACAAGATTACTTGAAGAGGCACCGTAGGTACCTCCAAAACAAGGGTAATTATTTTTTTTATATGTTTGTGGGGTGACGTTCTGCGAGCTTTACAAAAGCAGGACACAAATATATATTTTTCGAATTTCGACCTAAATTAACACTTTGTAAGCCATCAAAATCCTAGTTCTTAAACGTACTTTTACATAACAAGCGGCACATTAAATTCGATATTGCTCATACACCCTCATACAAATTTTTAATGTAGCTTATTATGCAAAAACAAAGTTATAAGTAAATGTACCTAAGTGAATAAATCCAAAATAGACATTTTACCATTTTACTAAATCACTAAATTCACAAAAGAAACTTCTGCATTTCTTATTGTGTACTTTTTAGAGTTTTTCATAGTGTGGATACCTAGTAGGTACTTGATCAGCTTTTTTTTATTGAAATGCCTAAATATTTTGCTTAATTTGACATACGCTGTAACTTTTATGCATTTTTAATCACTCTAAATGCCATATAAGTATAAATAATATACATATGTATGTACATATAATTAAAATCGAGAGAATGCAGGTTGAGAAGGCAATTGAATAAAACTACCGATAAAAGGTCTCCTGACCTAGAGAGCACTTAATTACGAGATAATCATTTATGTAGATAATGTGTAGAAACACGTGCATAATGTACAATATAGGTGCTTATTTATAGTTAGTTATTAGGGTGGGTACGTCCCACACTCGATACATACGTACACATATACATACGTGCATATGTACGTATGTACGCTCGTAGATGTGTTTACCTATATATCTTATACTAACTGATAATGATATACGCGAATGATGTAGTCATTTAAGCAACATCAACACAACATAGGTAGATAGACAGCTTAGGTACGATTAGTCGAGTCGAATAGTTTCATTCGGACATTTTTTATTCGTTCGCACGATTGCGGATTATGTAAGTTAATATCGCAATGTTTATAAGTATCTATGGCTAACAAGTTAACGCGGGTACGTACATGTAGAGCAGTTCGACGGCGATGCGGCGATAAATGACGCGAAAATTTAGTTCCTTAAAACGGTAAAAAATTTCTATTTTTGGATTCGCGCGCAACGGCGAGAGAGGGAGACGACAACGCGACGAGTCCTTGCTACAGTTTATTTTGCTAAAGATGCGTGTAATTTGTGTTTTGTTTATTGTACATGGTATATCCCCGGTGTGACGTAAAAGAAAGAACATCAATGAACATGCTCCTGCTGTCTCACCCCCCTCCACTGTGGCCGCCGCCGTCAGGACCTATAATACAGACGATGATAGTAGAATCGCGGCATAATAATTACACAAAACACAGAGAGAAGAACCGAAGCTATAGTAGTGGAAAACTAGTCCTTTGCTGTTTGTTGATAAGTCATCAACTTTCTGCGTGCGTCTGACTGTTCGTCTCCTCCGCTCGTTTGTTCGCAATCATCGACAGTGAGAGACCCGGCTGCGGCTTCGACGTTTCCAAGAATTTATTATAAGTGAAACAACTCACCCACACCTCACATAAATGGCAGTGCGGATTTTACTCGAAGGTAATCATCATTTGTTCCAAATTGTGTTGTAAAACGCTCGCAATCGTATTGCCGCAAAAATACTTACACATCGCAAGTGCTGAATAACAGAGATGTGTCACGTTAGGTACATACTCGCGACGTCTAGATTTTTACCAGCATGCACCTCTGAGTATGCAGAAATGTGTTTAAAAAAATGTTTCAGTCGGGGTCATAAAGATCGCGAATCCATTCAAACCGTAAATAACGCGAGCATCTTTCAGTGGTCGAGTTGGGTCGGTGAGTTCAATGCGGGTGCTTCGACATACCTACATGTACCTATGTATACCAAACACAACAGTCTGGTTGCAACCGCGAAACCTCACGCGACTTCACCACTTATCGTAAGCAGCGACTGTCTGACGGACATACCGATCGTCGTGTCCGTCGAATTTTCTTATTAGATGCCAAATGGTCGCGTAATAACTAACTACAAACTTCATTACAATCAGTAATAATACAGTAACAGTAGGTAGTACCGTAACTAATGCGATCGTTACCGTGGTTTGTCATTATCCGTCGCGTTTACGCGCCCGTTCAAAATATCACCGGAATTATTCATGAATCACGGCGCGACCACCTGTTGAAATTACTACTTCCCGTCGTCGCCGTCGTTCTCGTTTTCATCAATGAATTTCGCTGTTTTGCAGGATCACTGAGGACTACCGCTGCGGCAATTGGTCTAGCGGCGCTGGTCGCAGCGTCGCTCCTATTACCCGTCGCACGTTGTGCCCCCGCACCGGTGTACGAAAATGAAGAAAAACCGTGGTGGCACAATCCCTGCAGTTATAATCCCAATAGGATACGGCATAGCAGAGGCATACCGCCAGCCGTCAAAACTCAACTCAAAACTATCGTAAATATGTTCAATAGTCGAGTGTCACAGCACGTACAGCGGTACTGTTCAAAGGTAAATTTTTAAATTCTGTGTTTTTTCACTGCTTTTAAACTCTCCTGAAAATCGGAAAATTCTCTTCTTCTCCGTAATTCTCCAATAAATAAATAAATAAATTTCACCAATGAGTGCTTTTCTTTCTTTATAGTTCGAAAGTACCGTGCACAGCAAGCAAATTAAGAAACCAGATTGGCTTCCTACAAAGAAGTTCTTCCAATCTCTTGACGATAATGTTTCGGTAAGTTTCAACAACAAATTCACTTTGCTAAAAAGGGAATCCAATTTATTTCCTTTACTAATCTGAAATAGCAAAAATTGTATAAAAGGTGAATTGTTCCTTTTTTTTGGTTAAAGGCTCTTCCGGAGTTTCATTATCAAATTCAAATTCACGCCGCGACTTTACATAAATTATGGAATATGCACATCGAGTCGGCTGTGAGTTCTTTCGACGGAATAGAACGTAGCAACTTAATGAACGACACCGCACAACATATGAAATCTCTCCTTTGTGAGGTGGAAACTGCCATGAACAGTAGCAAACTTCACAGGAAAAAATTGGTCCCGATCAATTACGTCAGCGACGTCCAGATCCCGTCGAAAACTAACTTCACTACAGGTATCGTAACTGACTGCACTTTGCTGAGAGAATACGGAAATTTTTTGCGTAAAAGCAATAAGAAGTTGTCGGGAAAAAATAGAAGAAGGAAGGCCGGGAAAACGAAGAAAGCAGGGAAGGCAGGAAAATCAGGAAAGCCGAACAAAAATAGAAAAAGGACTTTCAGACGTAGGAGTTAGTGAAGTGCGCGTGAAAATCAAAGTGAAAACAGCTCATCACACCCAAAGAGTCTTTACTACTAATTTCAACAGTATTATTATCGACCTTAGGATTAAATAATTTGACTGTGACAGTTAGCATAAGAAAAAGTGCCAGTGCTTAGAAAACAGTAAGTTCCTTTTCTACTTATGTATTAGGTATTACCTATATAGGTTTTCCAGTTGTCTGTGATACGATACGATATTTTTGTGAATCTCCTCATAATTTATTTATTTATTTTAATTTATTCGTAGCTTATAGCCTAGCAATTGCCTATTTATTATATTATTTTAATGATCATGCTTGGTCTTGCAAATTTTAAAACTTTTATATAAAAACGACTTGTGAAAGAAGGAAGTAAAAAGTCCATTCGATTAAAGTAAACTTTTATTTCATCCGAAACAAACCAACAAATCATTACATTATACCTAGGTGCCTATATTAAAAAATTAATACAACGAAACCAAAGGTAAGTGATTACCTACTTGTTTATTTATTGTTCTTCTCAAATAATATTGCACAAAAGTTTTGCACAAAACGATGAAACATTATTAAGTTGTATACTTATTACCTATTTGTAAATCTCTCAAAAGAAGACATTAATAACCCAGAAATCTTCGTATTTTTACCAATCCAAATGGTTAGAAAATCTTGGTGGTGCTTTTTCGACCACTCGTCCAATATATTTTCTTATTTTAACTTAATAACTTACGATAATTGCCTCCTTGTGGTTAATTCTTCGGTTGCACTTATTATTTCATCGATAACGACGACTGAAATTTAAAAAAACAGGCAATGAGAAAAAGACATGCCTGTGCCTGTGTACTTTCTCAACTTACTTTGATACAAAAGGAATATATTAAAACATCAGTAAATCAACATTGAAAGTAATTACCTTAATGTTTCAGTTGCATAATTGACGCGGTTTTTCCCTGGAGATCATTAATTACTTTGCTTCAAAACGGTCAATGTAAATGTTAATTAATTGTTAAAACGAAATGCATTTTTAGCCATTTAAAAAAGATAATTTAAGAGTACAGGGGTATTCAACTGAACATCGGTTAAAGGATTTTGCATTGTCCATGTATGCTAAATGAGAAATATATGCATTTTTGTGACAGGGATGAATTGAAGTTGCAGTGAAAAAACAAAGCAAATTGCCTGCAATATACATCAGATTGTAGAAATAAGTACGCATTACTTTATTTCTTTCTTACTTAATGAAAAAACTTTTCGGTTATATGTCAATCAACTTAATTTTTATGATGAGTTAGGTAGGTATTTCTTTTTTGATTGCTTGCTTATCCCTGTCCGTTTATATCGTAAATCCACTTAAAAACAAGGAAAACGCAGAAAGCATAAAAACTAAACCAGATTGGCACTATTGTAAATAGACGTAAGAATTTTGTTTCATTATCTGACAACGTCACTCTGGTCATGACAGAATCGTTTGTTATGAAATTAGTTCGTTTCAATTTGTGCCTGCATGGATGGGCAATAATTTAATTGGGCACAAACAAACGTTGATTTAAAAAACGATTCAAATATTCCAATTTCTAAAAGCGAATTCGCTTTCTTCACTGTTACAAAAAATAAAATAACATCTACGGCGGTGACGATTGAAATAAAAGTTATGGATAGATATAATATTACTACATCAGAACCTACTCCGAATTATGTAGGTAGTATTTTTTCCGGACTGCTCCGTTGTAGTCGATAGAGGTTTTCGCTTCCAAAAGATTCATCGTTTTTCGTTAACAGAGGTACCTCGAGTGCCACAGCTAGTTCAAATTATGTCACGACTAAATATGTCATCAGTATAAAGGATGTGCTCTCCAACAGCCAGGAAATAAAATAACGAGACACAAACGCTTTATAGGTATATATTTTGTAGTTTTATAAATGAAAAATGAAGGTAACGTTTAATTAATTGTACGAACGCAGATCAATTGAAAGAAATTGGTTCTTTTCTATCTGAATGTACTTAATGTAACATTTTAGTCCTTGTAATAATACTGCATCATTAGCTAATATGTAGGTGTATTTATAAAAATTTTACGCCATTAACGATTCGGAATTGACAGTTGTGTGTAATAAATTGTCGGAGTTTCACGACTTTTCTACAAACATTGGACAATCCAACACGAGCTTTTCGCTAATGTTACTATTAGGTATAATAACACACTTTTTTTAACAATTTCTCGGTTTCGATAATTAATTTTTTTCGCTTCGATAATTCTATGTAAGTCGACAGTGTTTGTCAATGCAAATTTAACGTGGAGGCTCATTACAAAGGAGTTTTATGTAAATTACTTACAATTGTCTATGTTGTAATAGGTTCCATCTTGAAGTAATTGAGAAGAATAACCAGCTTTGTTCCACGACCACAATTAATCGTATCGAGAAGTGTTTTAGTGTTGAACAGTTTTCCGATTTTAGATAACAACGGGCACAGAAAGGATGCAAATACTCTTTTGTTCGATGAAAGTTTTGTTGCCGAGTTCGCCCAAAAATCGCACGTGGGCTGAAAGACACATTTCATTGTAAAAGTCAATGTACTGGGCGAAAATAAAACGTAAAAATGATGGACAGTTTGTTTAACTAGTAAGATTTTCCAGTTTTAATTATTTCACGCACTATTGGTTTCGTACTATGAAAAATCCCAGAAGGTGTGGAATTGTTAGTAATCCTAATCATGGTCAACATGATGTTTAAAAACAACGGCTTGGCTTCTGTTTTTGCAGATTTCCTTATTCAACAACATATAAATTCTAATTCATGTCTTTTATGCGGAAATGATGGTATAAACAAACACATTTGGGATAGTTTATGATTATGTAACGAATTCTCTGGTATTACTTTACTTAAACAGATCTCATATACTAGCCACTTATTTCATACAGTAACAGTATGTACAGACTTCTTTAAGGAGCTTTTATATCGACTAAATCTCACTGACTACCATCAATCATGCATTTATCTTATTGTTGTAGAATTTAAAGCTTTTCTGGATATTTAAACATGTACCTTCCGAAACTTGTCCTAATTTCGTTTTATATTGCATTCCATTATGTGTCATATCCCACAGGGGTGCCAGTATAAAAGAAGTGGCGCCTGCTATGTACCGATTGCTGCTCGCGGCTCGCTCTCACAACAAATTTATTTATTTATTTATTGAACGATACCTTGAATTCGATTCTTTTTCACTATTTGTTGCACACACCAAATCTAATGTGCATACATTAATTTATTTCATTTAAATAAATGATTAAATAAACTCCAGCAAATTTCAGATAGTAACACCCCGTACAGAGCGAATTCGATTCAATAATTCGCCAATAAGCGACTATGTAATCAATGTTGAAAACAATTTGTTCTTGATAGGTGCATTTAAAAAAAGTATCTAACAATCCAGAAGAACGAGTTTGCCACAATAGTGTGAAGAATTTGGGCAAGGCAACAAAAGAAAACAGTTACAAGATGCAACGTTTTGTCTTGGGACAATGTGATCACGTTGTTCTTCCGCGATGTTTTGTACACGCACCTATATGGATTAGTGATTAATGCTGGTCCGATTGGGTTGAATATGTAACAGATCGTACGATTAACATTATTTCTGTACACCATACCGCTAAATGGGAATACTACACGAATTTAAACAGAAATCCATGACATCAATAGCACTACCATCTATCTATCTATTAGGTAGGAACATACTCGTATAGCATTCCCGTTCTGGATCAAATGGCTACCTGTCAAGGAATTTCTACTTGTACGAACACACCAATAAAAGGTTAAAGCGTTTGTAACATTGGCAGTGGCTAATTTATTTAAAATGGACCGTACTTCAATGTACCAGTTCCTTTTTTAAAGTTGATACAGAAACCTCTTTCTTTAGTACAACAGATTTATATTCTACTTGATGGTATTTGAGAACGCAAACGTTTATAAAATAATCCAAAACTGTATTTGGATTAAACACATAGGTAGGTGGATGAATCGGTTCCCTCATTAAACAAATCACTGTAGGCGATTTATTTGAGCATAAAACTTAAAAACAACAGCATAAATTGAGCTGTATATGTAATTTAGTGAAACAACCAGACGTGGATCGAAATTTCGATCTTATTAGATCTCACCAGCACTCTATAGGCTAGTATACCGAATGTACCGAATTTGCTGAACATGAGATACTTCGATGTAACTTAATAACTTATTCTATTTTCATTTCAGCAAAGTAAACGATTTTATGTTGTTAAATTTCTTCCGGATTTTCTATTCTATAAACTTTAATACAATTGATTATGATACCAAAATTAATCGTTACTGTTTACCTATACTCATCGTAGAAATACGTTCATACGTAAATTTCTAACTCAATCCACAAGAAATTTGTGGTTAATTACCTCAATGAAATTACATTTCCATTTGAGGCATGAACAAGTTATGAGTATTCCATAATTAATTGTTCTTTTAGGACCATGTTCTTTTATTCCGAGGAATTGTCAGTTCTGATTAAATTACATCATAGGTTTATACAATAAAATATGTATACTTACTATTACTATCAGTATTAGGTACGTATCTACTTACATGTATTTTTTATTACAAACACATATACCTAAACAATCATCTTTGCGGTTCTATAAACGTTATTTTGATTGATATTTACTTAATTAGATAATTAAAAATATTATGGAAACGTTGTTGTTATTCCTACTTTTATTTATATATTTAAATATATTTCAAATTCATTGAACGTACTCAAAATTTCTGAAAAGTTTTCTTTGGAATTCACGTTGATACTTGAACACTTACATCACCAGTATTGTACTGAGGTAGGTACCTATCTATTATCTATCGCAGACATGTTCAAGTTAAGTGCATATTTTTACGTTTAAATTGTAAACTCATACCTGTTCGCCTATCACATACCATTGAGCAATGACGTTATTATATGTTTAGTTTCCTTTTCCGCACAGACTGGGAAATCCGAGGTAGAAAATATACCCGAACAATTAACGCCATTATTTTCTTATCCTCATAACGTCAACAAAATATTGTTTACTACATTGTGAATATTTTATCGTATTGTTTATGCAAAAGGTTCGAAATGCAAAAGAGTCGATCTGATCTATCGGAGGTGAACAGTACAGATAGAAAAGTAATGTTGTTCAAGTAAACCAAGTAAATGTAAGCACTATTTGAATTTTAATCCATCATTTATTCAGGTAGTTCGGTAATTATTCTACTCTGACCATATTTGATATACGCAGAAAATACCAGTTTATTGAAATTATAAATAAATAAATACATGACTCTGGTAGCAACGTTTTTAGTTTCTTTTTCAAAGACTATTTATAATAATAAGTCATACACACGAATTTATTAAACTCGAAACTAAACTTAGGTATAACGAATCTTTTTGACAAGGATTAATTCACCGCTGTCAAAAGTATCATAAATCTCATTAAAGAATAGAGACAGCCTACACCTCAACATGGCAATTCAATTGAAAACTAGAAATAAGAATACTTAATTGGTGCATCGCTTCAGGCTGATACAAACAAAAGAGAAGCGTCTACAATCGTTTAAATTTTTCAAATGGCACTTTTATTTTTAACACTGAAATCGTTATTTCCGAAAAATAATAAATAGAGCAGAAAACATCAAACATCATTTGGTCATTATCCTAACAGCTAACAGTTTAAAACGTAAACTCTTCAATGAAATTAATATTCGCACTTGATATGTATGATGATGACGCGACGTTTGAAAGTTTAAATTTCGATTAGACTTCGTAAGTGCTCGATTGCTATGTAATATATGCGGAAAAATAACTCTACTGGTGTTACAGCTTTTCACGACAGTATAATTACAAGCAAATGTATTTACATTTTACGTTGCCCGAGGCTCAGACACTCGGCCGCGACTACCGTAGACTTNTTCTTCAACGGCGCACCGTTGCTGAATGCTAAATGTCAGGTAAAATTGAAAGAATAAAGGCAGTTTCTCGTGAATCTTCTGATTTTCTGTCTCCTTGAAAATTCAAACTGCATATTTTGCGTTGATTCCCAGTTTACCTCACTAAAAGAAGAAACTCAAGTATAGCACATGTAGGTGTTTCATTTTTTTTGCCGCTCTTTTTTTTTTTCAATAATTTGTTGAGAGTATTATAAAAACTCAAGTGAAGAGTTTAAACCTTTTGAGTTGCTACTTTTACCGAACATATCGACGAATAGCATTAGAAATATGTATTGATAAAAATACTTCGGCGTATCTTAATTTGTTTGTGAGTTTTCCGTTTACTACAATGCCTGGATTAATTTTATGTAGGACCCTGCAAAAATGTCGAAAAGTAGTGACAACAAGCTCTATTTCTATTCTAACTTAATATGTATGTTCTTGGAATTTTTGTTGTTCGTTAATGTCATTCATATTTGTGATTACTCTAACGTCTGTACCATTAATCTCCGATTCTTAATGAGTCTGTAAAGTCTGGATTTATCAAGTGCCTTCTAATAATCATCGCAAACAATCCATATGAACTTTACAATGGATATTGCAACATCTTTCTATATGGGTCTTGTTACAAAACTTTTTCGAAAGTCAAATTGATAACAA